TATGTCTCCAGGGCGTCTTCTGGACGGCTCGAGTACCCTGATATAGGAAAGTATCTACTTCCCTATCTAAATATATTGGCTTGCATTGTATCATGCTTATTAATGAATTGAGCCATGGATCTTTACTCCGTAATGGGCAACACAACGTGGTGGTAGCTTTGTGTATATGAACATAATTTAGTAATTGGGCAATTAACTGCCATGGTGGAGTAGCCCACGCATTATGTTCGGAGAGGTCTATTTGAAAGGCATCTCTTAATGTAGGATGGTTTAACGTCCTATAGTTTGTTAGTGGTGCATTATGATGTGCAGCAAACATATCAATGATGTGTGGCCCAAATATCTTTTGTGCCAAATCAAACCACCTGGGATTACATTTCCAGTCAATGGCTAGTAAATCACGTACGGATTCATTAAAGTCCGGTACGAAGCGGGATAACATATCCGGTAAGTGGTTATGTATCCCTGGTAGATGTTTGATATCAAAATAAAACTTTGATATTGTATCATGCCATCGACTCAGTAATTGAGAGTCTGGCTTCATTTCCTTCATATATTGAAGAGACTTCTGATCACACATCAGCGTAAAAGCTGTTCCGTATAAGTATTCGCGGAAGTGTATTAACGTTGCTACTATGGCTAGTAGCTCTTGCTTCACAGTTGGATTATTCAACTGTGATGCATTCATTGCTCGGCTAAAGAATTGTATATACCTAGGTATATTATCTATAACCTGGTATAGTACACCTCCGAGTGCTAAGTCTGATGCATCCGTTGCTATTTTAAAAGGTACGCCATCGACTGGTCCTTGTACAACAGGGCCTTGTTGGACTGTGTGCTTGAGCTCTTTAAATGCGTCATCACACTCTTTAGTCCACAAGTCTCCTAGTTTGCCTTTATGGCATCTTAAGTGACCAAAGGGTTTAAGATAATCAGCCAAGTGTGGTACTCCATCTGAAAAGAAGTTTACAAACCCACACATGCTGTTCACATCTCTTCCTGTAGTTGGTGTTCGCCAATCTAACAGGTGTTCCACCTTACCGGGGTCGATTTTAATACCTTCCCCAGATATACGGTAGTCTAAGAGCTGTATTTCGCTCATGGCGAAGTGACATTTCTTCTCGTTAATCTTGAAGTTTTGTTCGTTGAGTCTCTGAAGGACTCGCCTGACTAATGCGGCATGTTCGTCCTTAGTCTTAGAAAGATGAATATGTCATGTCACGTAAGGCATGTCTGCAAACGTTTCCTCTATTACTTGTTGGAAGAATGCTGGTAAGGAGTGCAACCCGAAAGGTGCACCTCTAAACCTGTATTGTTTACCTTTCCAGGTAAAACTAAAGTACTGACGATGGGGTTCATAAATTTGCATTTGATGATACCCCGGTGTTAGATCTACGGATGTAAACACAGTAGCACCTTCCATTCATCTCAGTAACTCGTTTATACGAGGGAGATGGAAACTATGAGTTGGCAATAACTTATTTATTGGACTCATTTCTAAACATACTGTGACTTTCTTAAATTTTCCGTCAGAGTTGTGTTGATCAACTGCCAATAATGCTAGGTTAACTGGCGTTTGTTGGTAATTGATTCCGATTACCCCATCGAATAACCATTTCTCAACTTGTTCTTTAACTACAGCTTCGTGTCTCCAAGAGACATAGTTTCTTGAAGGGTATTTGAGCTTAGTAAAGTCTACCTTGGTTAAGTCAAGGCTGACATATCCGTCATTAAAACGGAATGTTGCCCAATCTGGGATCTTTATCTTCTTATTTACTAGAATCAGATCCATGATTTTGTCCGCAAAGTCAGGTATTAATGCCTTGACTGTGTCTGACGGGGGCTTATATGGTTTCAGACAGTTATCGTCTGATTGATCCTTTAATGGATCCATGTTATTTGGTAAACCAGTTACGGTTATACCTAGAGTAAGTAAATCACCCATTCTGACTATTAAATCGTACTTCTGTGACATCTTAACTAGCACAGCTTGGGTAGTGATATTTCTATCATCGGCCAGGGAGATTGTAACATCTGTGGCCATGGTATCACACTTAGAAGTTTTGTCATCTGCTAAGATTAGGTGAGTAGTTTGAGTGCGCCTTTCAATGTATTTAATTAATGCAAAGCGGTCGGATATACATGAAATTTCTGAACCAGGATCAATCAACGCAAGGACTTTATTTCCATTGCAATATACAGGGATTATTACACGCTCGTCCAAAGAGTCGTTGTATTTCCTTTGTAACGATTGTACCTGGTAGTACTTTCACCCCAACATAATGTCGGGTTTTTTGTCACAAGACTTGGCATGATGGCCATTGGTCTTCTCACACTTGTCACACTTAGTAAGAAAGTGTGTAAAGGTGGGTGCATGTCTGCCATTCCAATAACCGTTAGGGTTCAATTGGGACATGTCATACCCACACTGTGCGTCGGCACATTTCTTAATCTTCTTAAATGGAGGTTCCTTGT